TTCCAATCAAAAATTGAATTAAAAGTCATATTTCAAAAACTGTCTTTCATTTTTCTTATTTTAAAAAAAATGGGGCGCGATAGCCCTGTAAGGAAAACAATGATAACGGGAACGGGGCGAGCTTGCGCTCAATGAGGTACCACAAGTACAAGTAGTCAAGAATCATGGCATTTCACTTTTAAGGCACATATACACATCATATAAGGAAATGAACAAACACCACATATAGAAAGGATACAAATGACTCTCACGAGCCAAATTTCCGTTGCAGTACTTGATCCGAACTCATTGACGCTCCGTCAACGTTCGAGGAAACAAACATGACCGTAGACCCCACTTGATATCAAATTCCGTCCACAAAACATACCCGTTGCCGGGCCCGAACACCACACACAGAACAGAGATGGTAATACTCACCAGTTCAAGTAAAGATAACTTCAAAAGTTTTCTCCCAAAAGATGGCTTTGATCACCGTCATGTCCTAACAACAACCAAGGTAAAACAATTATGATTTTCCCCATCCACAAACCCAGGAAACTGAATGCACAAATGAGACTCGACTACAAGTCGTATGCTTAGTCAAGTTAACTACAAGAGCAAAGAGATAACAATGTGGCGTTGGAGTAAAAAGGTAGCAGTTAGTCTTAAAAACATGAACAACCCTAAAACCTTTTGCTCAAATCGCGAGTACATCCAACTAACTCTCGAGTGAAAATTTGGACAGCACGTCCTTTATATTTACCTATTTTTCAGCCATTTATGACTTCATTATTTTTCTCAATTCAGCCCCAAAATCACACACAAATAATCTTGCCAAAATAGCCTTTCACTAGGCTCAATGTTATTCAATTACAAAATAATGCTAGCAATGCGACCGGAACTAATGTTCAAGACAAATAACAAAATAACAGGTTTGAAATCTGTTGGCGTTTCAGTCACAATCGAAGTTATACTTATCGGATCGGACTGGGTTCCTTTTTTCAGCGTTTCGAAGCTAAGGCAGAGAACTACATTTCCTATGAAGACATCAACACCCAATTCGTTCATTTTCAAGGTCAAAATATACAATTTCAGAGAAAACAAAACACTGTTCACAAAACAGTATATTTGGCAGTCAATGGTATTTTTATCATTTCACATACTACCATACTTCGATTGAGTTGAAATTTTGTAGCCAAATAGTTAACACCATTTCCTATAACTTTCATGTTTTGACCTAAACCTGGTTCGACCTCTAACATGGACGAATTAAACAGGTCAGAACAGGGCAGTTTCAACCTTAAAGCTGAAAATTTTCTTTAGATAAGTCCATCTAGCACATAATACACTAATTTATCACATAACAAAACTATCAAACCATGGCCAATCATTAATCATCACATGAGGGCAGAAAATTCATCATAAAAATTGAAATTTATCATAACACTACTTCAACCCATGAAATTTCTCACAAAACTACATATTTAACAACTCTAATCCACCAATTTACAATTATTAGGAGCAAAGGGGGATTTCTAGACAAGTTACCTTGGAATTTTAAGAAAGATGGTAGCTTAGGGTTCTTCTTCCAAAATCACTCCACCAAAAGCTCTAAACCTTCTTAGTGAGTAACTTTTATGGAGTAGTTTACAATTTTAACGGTTGGAACTCAAGATTTGAGAAAGAAATTGAAGATGCAAGATGAAGTTTTCTCTCTTTTTTCCTCTCCCTATTTTCGGCCAAGAAGACAAGAAAGTGAAGAAAATTTTGGTCAAATTTTAAGTTTTAGTAAAGGTAAGAAACTTGGGTCAAAGTTGGGTAGATTTCCCACAAGTATCGCCGTAAGACCAAAGCACCATTTTTTTCTTTTTTTTCTTTTTCTTTGGCCAAACATTGTAGCTGGTTTAAGAGATATTTTAGGGTTAATTAGCTGAAATAAAAGCAATGATATTATGGTAATAAAATAGTGTTCAAGTGGTGCACTCACTCGATAACAAACGGTATACGTCGGTTCATACCGTTTTTCCTCATCTCGCGCGTATTAAGGTTTTCACTTATAATTCACTAGCTTATTATTATTACTTCTAATCACATATATTTTTTTCTTATTTAAAACTTGTTCTTAACCACCAAATTTAGTACACACACCTCCACAATTATCACACTACCAAAATACACGAAAACTCTAATTTACCCGAACTATAAAACTAAGGGTAAAACTCTTAAATCTCTTATTCATTACAGTAAATGAGTAGTAAAACTATCATAGGGTAATTGAGTCAAAATAAAAGAGAATGTTAGTCAAATTTTTGTATTTAGTAGAAGTAAGAAAGTCTTGGTCAAAATCCACCATCCATTGGTTTTGTGACAAATGGCGCACTAGGGTTTATTCTCATCATTTTGGCTACCAATGATTAATTTACCTAACCAACCTCTAATTATCCCCGAGCACCTTGTAAAAATAATATTCCCCAATACAACATCACCTAGTCGTCAAAATTTTATCGCACAAACGGGTCCCACGTCCAATATATACTACTAACGTCACATAGACTAACTTGTACCGGAAAAATGTTTTAACAACTTAATTCCCTTATAAAAATCTCTCAAAAATTAATATAATAAAGAAAGGTATAGAAATTGTATGCAAGAAACTAAATAATTACTAGAAATAAAGAAATTTATGGGTTCTCACACTCTCTCCCCCTTAAAGAAATTTCGTTCTCGAAATTTTCTTACCACCAGGATGTATCCAAATCTTAGTTAAACGGTGAAATACAGGAATCGTATCTTTTACATTCTCAAACGAGTCAGGGACCCGATGTTGCTCTAGGGAATACACTCGAGCCGGTACTTTCGATCCAGTCCCTTCCCTTTTCGACTGTCCAATGTTAGTCTTGGTTGGTTGTTGGGTCCTTTTCCCTTCTCACAATTGAACTAGGCAGTCAGCAATCCGATGATCGACGCTCCCACAATGCAAGCATTTTCCCTCTTTCTTCCAACAATTATTTTTCATGTGATTCGGCCCCCCGCAAATTTGCAGGGACCACGAGATGTAGAAACGAGCCTCCCCGTGAGGCACCACTCTGTTCTCGCCCAACCTGACCACCTCTGGCCTGGGCTCCCCTTGACTCCCTGGGAAGTTTTACTCCTTCAGTTCCCCTTCCAGACTTGGGAGGGGTACTTTCATCCTCTTGTCCCAAAATACTTCCAGGTCATTCCCGTTTCTTCGCTTGGAAGGTTCTAATTTGAAATCTTGCATTTTCAACTCGTAGGGCTTTCTCTACAGCATCACTAAATGTAATTATCTGTGCTACGACTAAATTCTTTTGAATCTCAATGTTCAACTCCTGAATAAATCGCCGTATCCTCCTCTGCTCGGTCACAATAAGTTCGGGAACGAACTTAGACAACCTAGTAAAGTGGCTCTCGTATTCTGCCACAGTTTGAACTCCCTGACGAAGTCTAATGAATTCATCCTCCTTTTGCTCTTGAACTAGAGAAGGAAAATACTTGGCATTGAACTCTCTCATGAAATTGACCCAAGTCCTTGGTGTTTGCTATATCTCTCACTTCATTCTGATCACATTGCACCAAGAACAGGCTGCTCCCTCCATTTGGAAGACAGCAAATGTTACCTGTCTCTCTTCAGCATAATGCAAAGCAGCGAAAATATCAATCATCTTCTCCAACCACTTCTCGGCCATATCTGGGTCTAATCCTCCAATAAATTATAGTGGAGAGAACTTTTGAAATCGTTCGAGGGCCCTATCCTCACCCTCTACATGGTTTCCAAGGTTTCCAGGTTGAGGAATAGAGTTTTGGCCCTGACGCTCCACTACATGAGCCAACAGATCGGTCATACGCTGAATAGCGATGGCTACCTGAACATTAGGGTCAACCCTCGATCCAACATTCTGCTCAGGTACCGATTCACTATTACCCTCTTCATTCACAGATTGCCTAGATCCGCGCCCACGGCCTCGTTCACTACGAGTACCCTCCATTCGATTTAACCAATCTAAGGTCGAAGCACGAAGGTAATATGAAAGAGAGATAAATGCATGGACAAGTTACAACAATACACACAGGTCAAAAAATCAAATAGTTAACACAGTTTTAACATATGTATCACACAATAACAGTCAGATACAAACAAAAGTAATCCCATGGAAGTAGGGGGTCATTCAAAAGTACAATATACAAACTGGGCCAGAAGTACAAAAGCATCTGAGCTTTTCTAACTGCCCCTCACATGAAATCAAATTTGGCTTACAGGAGGTCTAACCTAGTTCCCAATAGAGTTAACGAACTCTCCCACATGGGTAGAACTAGGTGTGTCTCCCTCTCTAGGAGCTCCGTCCGTAACCAACAAAAATAATGCAGTTTATATCGTAGATAGGGTTAATCATACTTAATGATACCTTAACACATCACACGAGATTCCGTAGAATCAAAGTTCTAGTTCGCCCAAGTTATTTTTAACCTAGACTCTCATCTTTAGTATTCGGATACAAGAATCCCAAATAAGATAATTCACAACTCGAACTGGCCAGTCCCCAAGAGTAAATCATCTACATTTCAAATTTCTACCTGACATGCATATCTATTATCTCCAAGTACCACGAGAAAGGTTTGAAAACTATAACATTTCACGATCTATAGCTTATGCTCAAAAGAGCACTTAGTCCTTTACACTTATTCACCACTTAGCCCAAATTCATTTCGCGCAAAAACCACGCGAAATAGCTCTAATACCATCTGTGACGGCCTCACCTTCTAATGCGAACCAAAGGATTGGCGGACCGCCTGCTCAACTATCGCCAGGACTACGAATCAAATCATTCATAAACCTTACCAAACAGTCCAAAGAACTTTGAAAAAATGAATCATTGGAAAGCGCGAAAGACCGCAGCCACGTCAAAATCCGACCCAATTTTTTTCTTCCTCGTTCAAGCTTCACACTTGCTCGATTTTCTCAATAGATACAAGAAAATTCACATAATCATAGAAACGTACAATGTCAAACAAATACGCTTGAAACACTTGATTACATAGTTATATACATATATAAATCAGAGTTTTCAACAAGTTAACTTGAAATACAAGCCATAATAACCATACGTATATAAAATACAATTAGGATTTCGGCTACAGAGGAGCATAATCAAAAGAATGTTTACACTAGTTCGACTCTTTCTTCAAAAATCATAACTCTCAAAATTTTGATCCCTGTAAGGAAAACAATGATAACGGGAACGAGGTAAACTTACGCTCAATGAGATACCACAAGTACAAGTAGTCAAGAATTATGGCATTTTACTTTTAAGACACATATACACATCATATAAGGAAATGAACAAACACCTCATATAGAAAAGATACAGGTTGCTCTCAAGAGCCAAATTTCCGTTGCAGTACTTGATCCCAACTTGTTGACGCTCCATCAATGTTTGAGGAAACAAACATGACCGTAGACCCCACTTGATATCAAATTGCGTCCACCAAACATACCTGTTGTCGGGCCCGAACACCACACACAGAACAGAGGTAGTAATACTCACCAGTTCAAGCAAAGATAACTTCAAAAGTTTTCTCCCAAAGGATGGCTTTGATCATCGTCACGTCCTAACACAACCAAGGTAAACCAATTATGATTTCCCCCATCCACAAACCCAGGAAACGGAATGCACAAATGAGACTCGACTACAAGTCGTTTGCTTAGTCAAGTTAACTACTAGGGCAAAGAGATAACAATGTGGCGTTGGAGTAAAAAGGTAGCAGTTAGTCTTAAAAACATGAACAACCTTAAAACATTTCGCTCAAGTCGCAAGTACATCCAACTAACTCTCGAGTGAAAATTTGGGCAACACGTCCTTTGTATTTACCTATTTTTCAGCCATTTATGACTTCATTATTTTTCTCAATTCAGCCTCAAAAGCACACAAATAATCTTGCCAAAATAGCCTTTCACTAGGCTCAATGTCATTCAATTACAAAATAATGCTAACAATGCGACCGGAACTAATGTTCAAGACAAATAACAAAATAACAGGTTTGACATCTTTTGGCGTTTCGGTCACAATCGAAGCTACGCTTATCGGATTGGGGTACACTTTACTCCGTTTCAAAGATAAAACAGAGAACTACATTTCCTATGAAAACATCAACACCCAATTCATTCATTTTCAAGGTCAAAATATACAATTTCAGAGAAAAATAGAACACTGTCCACAAAACAATACATTTGACAGTCAAGGGTATTTTTGTCATTTCATATGTTACCGTACTCCGATTGAACTGAAATTTTGCAAGCAGATAGTTAACACCATTTCCTACAACTTTCATGTTTTGACCCAAGCCTGATTCGGCCTCTAACATGGACGAATTAAACAGGTCAGAACAAGACAGTTTCAACCTTAAAGTTAGAAATTTTCTTTAGGCAAGTCCATCTAGCACATAATACACTAATTTATCACATAACAAAACTATCAAACCATGGTCAATCATTAATCATCACATGAGAGCAGAAAATTCACCATAAAAACTGAAATTTATCATAACACTAGTTCAACCCATGAAATTTCTCATAAAACTATATATTTAACAACTCTAATCCACCAATTTACAATTATTAGGATCAAAGAGGGATTTCTAGACAAGTTAATTTGGAATCTTAAGAAAGATGATAGGTTAGGGTTTCTTCTTCCAAAATCACTCCACCAAAAACTTTAAACCTTCTTAGTGAGTAACTTTTACGGAGTAGTTTGCAATTTTAACGGTTGGAACTCAAGATTTGAGGAAGAAATTGAAGATGCAAGATAAAGTTTTCTCTCTTTTTTCCTCTCCCTATTTTCGGCCAAGAAGACAAGAAAGTGAAGGAAATTTTGGTCAAATTTTAAGTTTTAGTAAATGTAAGAAACTTAGGTCAAAGTTGGGTAGATTTCTGACAAGTGTCGCCGTAGGATCAAAACTCCATTTTTTTCTTTTTCTTTGGTCAAACATTATGGCTAGTTTAAGAGATATTTTAAAGTTAATTAGCTAAAATAAAAGCAAGGATATTAAGGTAATAAAGTAGTATTCAAGTGGTGTACTCACTCGGTAACAAACGATATACGTCGGTTCACACTGTTTTTCCTTATCTCGCGCGTACTAGGGTTTTCACTTATAATTCACTAACTTATTATTATTACTTCTAATCACATACTTTTCCTTATCTAAAACTCACTCTTAACCATCAAATTTAGTACACACACCTCCACAATTAATCACACTACCAAAATACGCGAAAATCTTAATTTACCCGAACTATAAAACTAAGGGTAAAACTCTTACATCTCTTATTCATTACAACTATTGAGGGAGTAACTGAGTAGTAAAACTATCATAAGATAATTGAGTAAAAATAAAAGGAAATTTTAGTCAAAGTTTTGTATTTAGTAGAAGTAAGAAAGTCTTGGTCAAAATCCACCATCCATTGGCTTCGCGACAAATGGCGCACTAGGGTTTATTCTCATTCTTTTAGCTACCAATGGTTAATTTACCTAACTAACTTCTAATTATCCCCGAGCATCTTGTAAAAATAATATTCTCCAATACAACGTCACCTAGTCGTCAAAATTTTATCGCACTAGCGGGTCTCACGTCCAATATGCACTACTAACGTCACATAGACTAACTTGTAGCGAAAAAATGTCATAACAGCTTAATTTCCTTATAAAAATCTCTCAAAAAATAATATAATAAAGAAAGGTATAGAAATTGTATGCAAGAAACTAAAATAATTACTAGAAATAAAGAAATTTTCGGGTTCTCATACCCTTAACATGTCTTTTTTCTACAATATGTTTTAACATAATTGTTGGACAGATTTTAGTGGGATTGTAGGATAAATTTTGAAACTTTAATAAATTTTGTAGTTTTGATTTCAATTTTCCTTAAAAGTTTTAGCTAGTTTTGTTATTTAATTATAATAAATGGATTTTCATTCATTTTGTGAAGTTTAGCATTTGATTTTGACATGTTTCATCTTAAGTCATTAATTTTAATTTCCTTTTTTTAGACCCTTAGTATTTTAATAATAATAAATTGATCCCTCGAATTTCTTTAATTCTTTCAAATGGATCCTTGTTTGTTTAAATAGGGGTTGTTTAGTTCATTTGAATGCTTTGAATGATTCAATTTGGTGTTTATTTTCATTTCATGTGATTATTTATTAATTAAAGTGATGTCTTGACCTTTTCTTAGTTTTTGGAGGATAAAAAAATAACTTCGCTTCATTAAGGTACCAATTCAAGAAAGGTACACTCTACCCCTTATTTTGATTTTTTTTTACGCTATGTGCCCCTATGTGACTTTATGTACTTAATTGCATGTCTTTTAAATGTTTTCATTTCATTTATTTATTTAGTCGTTTTATTTGTTTTAATTTTATATATTTATTTTAGTTCAATTTTGATTATTTGAAAGGTATTTAAATGCCAAATTGTAATAGTTAGGGAGATTCAGGATATGTATTTACATAGAATGTGTAATAGTTAGGTATCTATTTTATTACTTATTTTATTCCTTCCCCTTTTTAGATTGTAGCTAGGACCCCAAATGTAATAGTTAGGGCTTTGTTTGCTTTATTTGTTTTTGCATGCTTGTGTTTTACGTGTTATTCGCTTTCTTAGGGTCTTGTATCTAAATATCATGATTATGTATTATGTGTTTATGCGATATTATGTGTTTACATGCTTTTATTATGTTTCACATGATTAGTTAGTTATAATTAATGCGTGATGTCACCACACTAGTCAACGCTAGTTGTGACCCCTTTCTCGTCACCACACTAATCCAATGCTAGTTGTGGTCTCTTTTTCTGATTGCTCACTAGTCCAACGCTAGTGAGAACTCGTAGACATGGGCTAATCCAACGCTAGACCCTTAGAGACCGTTCACGCGTTACACCATCTTTGTGTGACACGATCACAACATTTCATGCATATTTTTCTACTTTTTAGGATTTTTATCATTTTTGCATGACATTTCCCTTACATGTTTATGTCTTATCCCATATTTCCCCTATATATATATATCCCCTATCCCTATGTGCGACACATGACATTAGACTTATATTCCATTTAAGAATTAGAGTTAGGATAGTGCATTTGTTTGATTAGATTATGGATAACCCCTCGAATATAGGGTATGGACGAGTTTGACTTTCTAATCTTAGCACGCTCGTATTCCCTTTATTAAAGGGAACATTAAAGTCATGAGTATTAACTCTCTGCACCCGTTATGATGCATTCTTCTAGGCCATATATAGTTGTATGATTATTATTTTTTTATTATTTTCTTTCTCTTTCTTCGAGTCTCATATTTTGCACATTCGTAACCTCTTCAAAGAATCACTCTTGAACATCACAATTAATGTAATTGACATCACTTAATTTTTGAAGAGATATTTTGACCCCCTGATATCCTCCTAGGGTTAGATTTTGCATCCATATAACACGTCCAAATGCGATAAATTTTTATGTTACAAATAAGAAAAACTTTGACTAAATCATGCGACTAACCTTGGTTAAATTGAAAAGGTACTTTGGATTTTATCCTTACCTTCTCTTTTTTCAAATGTGACTCTCGAACACATTTCTTTGATTTTCAAAGATTTGAAATCACTTAAAAAGGATTTTTTCTACTTTTTTATTCGAAATTCATTTTAGGTGATTTGGTACACCTTAACTCAATATCAAATGACGACTCCTATTTTTTATTAAAACCCTTTTTAAACTATTATTTTGGGGGCAAAACCGTCGCACTTTCAAGTCCTATTTAGGCTCATTTTATTTATTCATTTTCTAAAAAAATTAAAAAATAACTTATTTTTTCAAATCAAAAATCCATTTTTTCTAAAACTCACTATTTTTCGTTTTTTTAAAAATGGGGCGCGATAGATGGTTCCTAAGGATCTAGCGTTAGACTAACCCATGTCTATAAGTTCTCACTAGTATTGGACTAGCGATAAATCGGAACAAAGGATCACAACTAGCGTTGGACTAGTGTGGTGACGCCATGCATTCATTATGATCATATAAAACATTATAAAAGCAAATAAACACATAAATCACATATAGCACATAACACATAAGTATGATATCTAGATGCAAGACTCTAAGAAAGCAAGTAACACGTAAACACACAAGCATGCAAAACACACAAAACAAATAAAGCAAAGAAAAACCTAACTATTACATTTGGGGACCCTAGCTACACTCTAAAGGGGGAAAAAATGAAATAAAATAAAATAATAACCTAACTATTACAATTTTGGCATTTAATTGCCTTCCAAATAATTAAAAATTAAATTAAAATAAATATACAAAATCACAACAATTACAGTGACTAAAAAAATGAAATAAAAACATTCAAAAGGCATGCAATTACGCATGTAAATCACATAGGGGCACATAAGTAAAATCAAAATAAGGAGTAGAGTATACCTCCCTTGAATTGGTGACCTAATGAAGTGAAATTTATCCCTTTCTACCCTCCAACACAAAGAAAAGTTATTAAGGTATCACTTTAATTAACAAATAATCATAAAATATGAAAATAAACGTGAAATTTAATCAATTAAATCATTTAAATGATCGTAAACAACCTATATTTAAGAAATTAAAACAAGCAAGGAATTAATTGCAAAAATTAATAAAGTTTTAGAGGTTAAATTATAATTATCACAAAGATCCGGGGTCAAAATTTTAAAAAATAAAGTTTAGAGACCTATTTGCAATTAAATTAGGGACCTAATTGAAATAAGGTAAAAGTTTAAGGGCCATAGTATAATTAATGAAAAGTACAGGGACAAACTGCAAATTCGTTTCTGATCTTTCTAACCTAACAGGCCACTTGGGCCATTTTGCATTTTATTTGGGCCAGAAGCTCCCTAAGCCCGTCTCAAAACCCTGAGGCTACAGGTGGACCGGCCTTCCTTTCTCAACAAAACAAACCCACCAAAGAGTGGACTTTTACCTCCTAAGGCCAAGCCAGAAACCCAAATAAGCTAAACCCACTCCCTTAAACCCAAGCAAAAATAACCTCTTAACCCAAATTACCTATTTCACTAAAACCCAACATGATAAAACCAACTAAAATTATTAAGCTACAATTACGACCTAAAATCAAGAATTAATCTACCCAAAAGACTACTCAAAAAGATTAAAAGATGATTAAAATCTAAAAGGGCGAAATAAGTTCAACTTTTCCAATTTTTCAGCCATATCAGAATAGGGGAAACTTGAGGGGATCAAATGCAATGAAAATAGGGACCTAATTGAAATAATTATAAAAGGTTTGGGGTCAAATTATAAAGTCTTAAAACTTTGGGGAAAATTAAAAAATAAAAAAATTTGAAGGTCTAAAATCGCGATTTCTGGAATTGGGTCGTCTTCTCCAAACGTTTGAATGGCAGCTGCCATTTTCGTCTTTCTTTACGGACGAATGAATACCAGAAAGTTCACCTCTGGCCACTCCCCAAAAAAATAAATGAAACTCGCGCAAGCTTCCTCTCTCACAATCTCAAGATGTAACTCGAATTCATACAAAGGAAAGACAAAGAAAAACAGAAAAGGTGCGAAAGGAAGGCATATCAAGATTTTTCAAAAAACTCTCGTTTCTACCCTGAAAAATCAACTATTGTGTTCAGACAAGCGTTGAACTAGCCTAATATTCATTTTCTCACATGCAAAACGCAGGTCAATCATTCTTCAAGTAGAATTTTCAGCTGGGCATTTTATCAAACAGTAAATAGGCATGAAAATTCCAACGATTTCCTACTCAAATGAGGTCGTGGCTGGCCTCAAAACTATCAGAAACAAAAGGGACTTCAATCCAATCGACACATAAAGCATGTATATTCTAAAATCGTGAACAACTAACAAGAAAATTGTAATAAACAAAATCAAGGCAGACATGCTCTGAGAACTTCAAGAGCCTGTGATTGAAGAAAAGTGAAGTTTAAAGGAAAAGGATAAGCTTACAGTGCTTTATCTTTCGGAGAAATTTCGCAGGTAGTAATGGAAGAATTTCGGAACTAGCAACAAGCTTCAATGCCTCCGCCAAGTCTTTTCTCCTTTTTCTTTCCTTCTTGCCCGCAATTCCTCCTCAGTTTCTCCCTTCTTGCTCGGTTTCTTTTTTTTCCTTTTGTTCCTTATTTCCAGATTTTGCTGTCTTGTTCCCTCTACCTCTCTCTGTATTCTCTTGCTCTCTCTTCTGTTTCACCCCTCCCCCGGCCCCCCGAAGCTCCTTCCCAATTTTTCAGATTTTCTCCCTTTCTGTTCTTTTGTCCCCTTTCCCTTTTCCTCTGTTTTTTCCTTTTTGTCCGTAGTCTTTTCTTGCTCTTTTTTTGGCCTTTTTGTTTTTTTCTTTCCTTTTTCACCGCCAACTCTCCCCTTTCCTCTTTTCTTTTATTTGTTTTTTTGTTTTCCCAATTTTCGAAGGCTTCCAAGTGTCTTGTCACCTACCTCCTCCCTTTACATGTGGTATCAATAAAATGGGGACACTTGTTCTATTTACATGCACTAACACTTGTCCAACACTCCCCTAATACACTTGTTTAATACTCCTTTAGCACACTTGTTCAACATGCAAACCTCCCACCTATCTTCTTATTTTTATTTATTTATTATATTTTTTTTCAAAAAATCAATTTAGGTAAACAAAGAAAAAACTAATTCCTAATTGAAATTGCATTGCAAAATTTTTTATTTATTTTAAAGAAATCGAATCTAAGATGATTAAAATATATTTTTGTGAAAATTTTCCTTTTCAGAATTTTAATGCAAAAATATCTTAAAATTTATTAACCTAATTTATAAAAAATAAGCAAAAAAATAAAGACTAACTATCATTTAATCAATTAAAATAAAATAAAATAAAACAAGAATAAAATAAAGCTAAAATTGAATTAATAACAAATAAAGCTAAAATTGAATTAAATACAAAATAAAGCTAAAATTGAATTAAATAAATGAAATTTTGGTGTCTACAATGTGAAAACAAGGAAACATGGAGCTGGTTCTTTCACTTTTTTGAGGAGTTTTTTGGACCATTCAACAGCCATTTATATTTAACCTTTATGAGTGATAGGCAAAAGGTACTGCTCAAAACAATCTATTTTTTGTTTGGACTTGTTGAAGGATCTGAAAAAGCTTTTTTTGACTCATCTATTTGTTGTTTCAGACGCTCAACCTTGCTTATGATGAGATTTTTCCAAATGCTAGTGGCAGATATTGTTGTAGGCACATTTGCAGCAACTTCAAGCAGTAATTTCCAGGCATGCAACTTAATAGTTTCTTCAGCAAGGCAGCAAAGAGTCTTGATCACATAGACCACAATGAAGCAATGTCAACCATTAAAGACATCAACATACAGGCTTAGAAATATTTGAACAAAATTCCCAAGAAGACGTGTAGATATGCATTCTCAAAAGAAATTAAATGTGACCATGTCATAAATAATTTCACTGAATTGTTTAATTCATGGGTTGGTCATGGGTTGGTGATCTCAGGGGCAATCCCATACTTACCCTTGTTGAAGGTTTGAGAAGAAAGTTCATGAAGAAAATGCATATGAGATACCAAAAGGGATGCACATTAACTAATAGAATCACCCCAAATTTGTTGAAAAGCTCAAAAAAATTGCTCAAGCATCGAGGCATTGTACCCTGAATATGGAAAGTGAGGATACATTTGAGGTTGTGATATAGACAGATCATTCATAATCAATTTAAACTAAAGGACCTGTGATTTTGGTGCCTTCCAATTAGTTGGACTTCCTTGCAAACATGTTGCACTTGGCATTATCTACAAAAGGGAAAAGCTGGAAGATTACTGCGATCATTGGTTCTCCAAAGACATTTACTTGAAGGCATCTGCTCCTATGATTCACCTTATACCTCATGAAAAGAGGTGGCCTCCTATGCATGAAGTTACCCCTAAGGTTATACTGCCCCCTCCTTTGAGAAGAGTTCCTGGTAGACCAAGAGTTAACAAAATGAGAAAAGCTGATGAATGACCTTCATCTCAGCCAAAAAGATCAAGTACCTTAAAGTGTAGAAATTGGGGTTAGTTTGGTCACAACATGAGAACATGTCAAAGAGCTCCTGTGCAAAGAAAGAATCCAGCCAATACTCATGCTCAACAGGTATCATCATACACACATATTTACAAATTAATTGTTCTTTCTTGACTCATCAACTGCTTATGTTGTTTACTTCATAACAGATGCCAACTAGAAAAGGGAAACCAGGCAGAGGAATTGCAAATTTAGGACTGCAAGGATCTGTTCTTTGGGTATAAATCATGTTTGAATTATGCAAGTAGTCTGCAGTGTTGCTTAGTCATATTACTTTAACATGTAAATTTGTTATGATAGGATCATACACATAGGAAGGTGCCTATTGTGCATTCAAGTCAAGGTAGCAATTCGAGTCCTTCTAGTGGAAATGCTGCCATAAATGTTCAGGTTAATGTACAGACAGGTACAATTGCATCTAAAAGAAAGGTACGGGCTCTTTTGTTATGAAATCCAATCTAGTGCTGCTACATATGTATTCAGTAAGGCACGAGCTCTTCTATTTTGAACAATTGCAGAGAGGAAAGCCTTCAAATGCCACTTCGACAAATGCTGCAACAGGTTCTCGCAGAAGAGTTGCACCAAAACTTGTTCAACCAACTAATCATCTGTCAACAGCTCCTATTCAAGCCCCTGGTGTTACTTAACTGCTACATCTACTATCATGAATACAGCTACAACTCTTAACTCTGCCAATATTAGCACCACCAGCAGTTTTAGCTTGCATTTCTAATTACTACTGTTATGCTTACATTTCTCTTCTTTTGTACTTAGTGGTGCTTTGTGAATTATAGTTCATTAACATGATGCCTACTTATGCTTTTGTATATGGTGTTATGTGAAACTATGACTAAACAATGGTTTTGCAATCCTCACCCTCTGCTTGAATTGCTTCAAGGCAGATGGTGTTTTGGATAGTCTTGGATTGCATTTCTATTTATTTAATGCATGGTTATGAAATCTAAAATGATATTACTCTTGGATTGCAGTTTTGGTTTGCACCTTATTACTGTTAAGGTTTCATAAATGACTATTTTAGTTCTTAGCTTGTTTCATTTAATGGATCTATAATGTTGCAACTTGAGCATATGGCAAATAACTTAGTCTCTGCATTGCTCATGAACCTGTTCAATTCACTCTTTTCCACCTTAGTTTCTGCAACAAATCACTCTTTTCCACCTTAAATATTGATGCTTAAAGTGAAAGTAGCGTCCTTCTTAATGCTTGTCCATAATATGTTGAAGATAAAAAAAACCGTATCCAAAGTCAAGGTACTGCCGTGGTGTTCCAGATCCAAAGATCAGGATCTATGATGTTGGCATGAAAAAGAAGGGAGTTGATGAGTTCCCATTATGTGTCCACTTGGTTAGTTGAGAAAAGAAGGGAGAATGTCTCCAGTGAAGGACTTGAGGCTGCTCTGCTACTCTTTACATGAAGTTTTGTTTGTTTTTGGTCTTGGCACATTTTTTTGGCCTGAATTTCAAGGGATTCACCAAGTTCAGCAGCACAGACTATGTCAAATGGAAGCAAGAGAATCGTATTGTTCTAGATGGTGTTAATAACAAGGTTTGTTGCTGTTATATTTGTTTGATTTGGAGCAATTTTTACTTGTATTGCTGTTCTTTGATTGTACTCTTGGCTTTTTGGTTGTAAGGCTAGTGCTAACTTGGTTTTGTTCAAATCTTGCAACTTCCTGGTTGCCACGGACCATTGGCTAATCGTCAATCAGGAAGAGTGTTTTTACAAGCAACTTTTTAGTTTATTTCATTAGCATTTTGTCTCTAGTACTATTGGATGATGTACACCTATTGGATAGCATAACTTAGATAGTTCATAATAATTCTTCAACATTGCAAAAGATAGTAGTAGCCATTGCTACAGCTTTGTGCAAGTAAATGGTCAATGACTCTTTTTCTTTATTTCACTAACATCCCCTCACTTTTTCTAATTTATTTCTGATTTTTATTAGTTTTTATTATTTCACTAATATAACTTGTACACTTACCTCATGAGCATTTATGGGAATAAATTTCCCTCTCTTTCCTAAAAACACTTTTTTTTGTTCACTTTTGACATCAGGGGCTGATTTTGTTACAAAATCCTAAACCTCAAGGGAGGTCAATGTCATTGTGGAAACCTCAGGGGAGGTCAATGAAATTGTCAAAAACCTCAGTGGAGGTTTCTGAAGTTATCCCTAGATTTAATGCTCACGGGTAAATTTCCGAATTGTTTTATTGGGTTTCAAGCTTTTCGATTTATTTCTGTCGGCCAAATTGTGTTTGATTCGGCAATGGATAAAAACAGTTGGAGGGCGCCTCAAGGCCAGATGGCTCAGGGTCCTCCTCAAGGTGGTCAAGTAGGCGGCAGTGGAGAAGTATCGGCTGTCCCAAATCCAGCTCCGCCCGCTACTATTGACAGCGGCGATTGGAGGACTCAACTCCAAGCTGATTCTCGTCAAAGAATCGTAAATAAGATGTAACCCCTCGTTTTCTTTTTGCTTTGTCTCTTTACTTTGGATTATATATGTATGCAATTTTTTTTAAAATTTTTTTAGATTGATATCTGGTTTGGAAACTGGTAAAAATTTTTTTTTTTTTCTGGACTTTCTTGAAGGCTCTTACCTGGGTTAAAACTGTGATTTTTCTTATTTAATGTAATACTAGAAAAATATATTATTTGTTTAGTTGGTGTTGATAATTATTTTTCCAGTATGAATAATTAATTTTCATTGGGTGTGGGAGACTAATATGTTTGAGATTCTGGATGATTTTATGGTATTATTGGGAATGGAGTTGAGGAAGAATTGGAAGCTTCTTGGAGCTTCCAATGCTTCATGGGCTCTGTCTTATTCCAGAGGAGTGTATGTTAATACAATATGTCGTTTGGATAATGTGTTGTATGTGTGGAATTCTTATATTTGTTGCACTACTACATCTTTTACCGAGAATGTGTAGCTTTGAACTTATCTTTGCCAGAATTTTCCTCTTCTGATATTTTAAATGCATGGATTCCGTTGAAGGACTCCTTGGTGAGATTAGAAAATACCGAGTTGAGAGAGTTAATATGTTGAAGAATGAAATCCTCGTGTCTTTGTGTTTCAAGTTATATACATGGAGTTGAAAAAAGTTTCAAGAATGAAATCCTCATATCTTTGTGTTTCAAGACTAAGTTCTCTTCTGCCTTCCCTCCTTCACTTCTTCCACTTCTTGTTACACTTCCTCTTTTAATTCATGCGCAACTTCTACAGTACTTTTATGGCTTTCCTGATTAACACAATTTGTTTGGGAAGCCATGATGTGGAAAACTGAAATTTAGAAGACTCTGCATTTAGTATAGTTTCTAAACTCTTGTAGGTTTACTTGCTATTGGTTTTCCTTTATTGAATTTAAGATGCTTGTTTTCCTAAGTTGATTTTGCATGGTAGTGTGCAACTGTGGAGCTGGTTTATGATTTTGTTTCCTGTTGTTGATGTACTTCTGTAAGGTTGTAAGCAGATTTTAGTTTAATTTTCAGATGTGCTCACATGTGCAGAATGGAGACTTTGAAGAGGCACCTGCCATTCTCTGGACAAGAGGGGCTGCAAGAACTTAAGAAAATTGCTGTGAGGTTTGAGGAAAAGATTTATACTGCAGCAACTAGCCAGGTAGCCATGCAATTCTGCAGCATGTATGGTCTTAATGTATCACTTGCATCCTTTTTCCATTGATCCTGCGCGAAATTTTGCTGTTGGTCCGTTTTATTAAGTTACTCTTGTTTCTCATTATTTGGTTATTAATTTTTTCGTCTGGACATGATTTATTTTTTGCAGTCAGATTATCTGAGAAAGATATCTTTGAAGATGCTGACAATGGAAACTAAGTCCCAAAATCCCATGGCTAATCCACTACAAGCTAATGCTGCCAATGCAAGCAAAAATCCTCCAGACCAAGGTAATTGGATGGCATATTCACTTTCTTGGATTGTGGTACTGATCCCCTCAACTTTTTCATCTGTCATCTTTCTTTTTTGAATGTAATAGGAGTTGGTGCTGCTAATGTTCTCTAATATTTGCCTGTGCTGATGGCTAATTCCTCTTCATGGCTAATTAGTAGTTTTGATGACCTATGATGTTTTTGTGCCATACTTAGATGAATTAATTATGAACCTTCGGATCCAGTGGCCTTGTTGTTTCTACGAAGTTTAAAAGATGTTGTCTTTAGTAGTCAGGCATGGATATTTGTGAGGAACTGACGGAACTATATGAATAGGTATCTTACCTGTATTAACAAAACCCAACGTGCCATGTGGTCCAAGTGCGTCTATGTTTTGGTCTGACAAAAGGTTGCCAGCTTGACTAGCCATATAAAGTTGTCATGTGGTCTATCAAAACAACAGTTAATGATTTCCAGAATTTCTCTCAGGCTTTAATCAGCACACTTTGGAATATAGGAAGACATTTTTAAAGTTACGTTACATAGACTTGGGTGGTGTCTGGGTGCAGTTGCATGTTGAAGTGTCAGATTTCCATATTTGAAAATTACAGGATCCGGGGATATTTGCCCAATTTTGGGTACAGGTGTGTGGTTGCATCTCTTATACTCGTGTACATAAGATTTAAACACAAATCATTCTAAAATATCCAAAACTTGTTTAAAGCATATATGCTAAGAAAAAGATCAATTAGATGTGCGATTAAATTGAAAAGAAACATAAGCTGGGTTACAACGTATTTCAGTAGGAGGGGATGAATTATTATTGAAAAGGGAAAAATTGCAGAAACATTAAGTTACTTATTCAGTAATTAAAGTTGAAATAGTGGGGGCAAAGTAGATATTGTTGTCAAACCCTATCTCTATCTTAGTCATTCTGTGCTGCCGTCACATCAAAACAGAGTGCCTCTTTTCAATTTATCATAGCCTCTCTTACTCTCAGATGCCACGATTTCACATCTTCCTCCAACAAAAGAAGCAGCCCTTATGTCTGCAGTGAAAATACGCCATGGGATGTGAGTATTTTTCTTTTGAAACTTGAGTGGCTTTGGCTTTCCCCTCTTTTCTCCTCCCTCCACAGAACCACCCTTCTTCCTCTTCCATTCTCTTCTCATCTCATGAGACTTCTTGCCCATCTCTCCTCCTTGGCCATCAACATCGCATCACAACAGTTGACATACCCAAAAGCTTTTGACTGTGTCAGGTGCATATCCCGTCCTGCCTGGGGTGAATGAAGATTCCAGGTAACTAACACAAAAGTATCTTAATTAGGAGTCTCTAGCCAAGCGTGTTTAGCAGGAATTTTGGTTTCATGCGTTCAGTTGTTCCTTTTTTGGTTTTGATAGGCATTTTGGTAAGTTAGCTCTTTTTCCGTAGGATTTTATATTTTGTGTTTAGTACTTCAGGATCTTGTCTTAGAGTCAATAATTAATTGTATGATTGAAGGATATTATCCCATATGAGAAATAAGAGTTAAATCTAGTCAACATATTACGGACTTAACTTCATGTAAGTCCATCTGTTGTTTACTGTCTTTTGAAGTTTATGAGATGCAATCTAGCTTTCTTATGATGCCAAATAGTGAGCAGTGGTACGTGCAGTTTCGTTATCAATATCTTCTTTTATCCAGAATACTGTTTTATCTGATGTCCACACAATCAATGTTTAATTGCTGTTTTTGCACATCCTGATCTTCAGAGAGTATTGCCAAAAATCCAGTGGCATACTAATCTCTCTCTCATATGATCTTATTGTCTTAATTGGATCTAAATGGGTGATTCAAAATCCACTCACTTTACACCCACTAATTAAGCTTGCTTGGATTTGTCAGTATCTTTCTAGGCCTAAGGTTTCTCTTGCTGGCCACCTCTAAATGGTTGACTACTGTGAGTTATAAACTGAGACTGCATCAAAAAAGTTGATGGAACATTTAGTTGCAGAAGATATATGTACTTTTTGTTTTAAAAGGTTAAGAAGGATTGGGGTAGGTTATCACCTGATTGCTTTGGACTTTAGTGTTACTGCTTTTGGGTTAGTTTTGGTACCATTTGTTGTTGTGCTTTGCTGGTTTTGACATTTGAGATAAACGTCTTTTTCCTTTGTGGTTCTATCCTTTCGATGATGTCTAATGAATGAGTTCTCTCCTTCTCTGTGTGCATCTGTTCATCTTGATAGCTGTCCATGGCATGCAATCCCAAATTCAGAACCAGCCACTTCCCATGCCAGTGGTGAGCAGCCAATCACAATCCCGACAACAGCTGTTACCACAAAACATGCAGACTAATATGACATCAACGGGAGTCCAGAATTCTGCTATTTTGGCTTCTACACTTCCAACTGCTGGTAATTTGCAGCAGGCTCCCATGCCTAATATTGGTCAGAACTCCAATTTGCAGAACATGCAGAGTGTTCCCAGTGTTTCTCAGAACCCAGTAGGGAGTTCCATGGGACAGGTGATGCCTTCAAATGTTTTCACTAATTCTCAAAGACAGATGCAGGCTGGACAACAACAGGTTGTTCCCTTGCAGCAACACCAGCAGACACAGAATCCACAGCATTATCTTTATCAACAACAGCTGCAGCATCAGTACATGAAACAAAAGTTACAACAAGGAGGAGGAATGGCACAGCCCCTTATGCAATCTCATATCCAGCAGCAGCAGCAGCAAAATCTTTTGCAACCAACTCAAATTCAAACCTCCCAGCAAGTTGTTATGCAGCCATCTGTAATGCAGTCAGCTCCTCTATCTGGCCTCCAGCAGAATCAACAGTCTTCTATGCAACAAGTGACTCAACCAGTAATTCAGCAGCAGTCTCAAGCAGTTTTGAGGCAGCAGCAACAGCAGCAGCAACAGCAGCAGCAACAACAGCAGCAACAGTCGCAACAGGCTTCCATGTTGCATCAGCAGCAAACCTCCATGGCTCAACAGCCATTACTGCCTGCAGCACAGCAGCCACATCAACAACAGCAGCAGCTGATTGGGCAGCAGCCTGGTGCTACAAATATTCAACACAACCAGCTCATTGGCCAACAGAATAGCATGCCTGATATGCAGCAACAGCAACAAAGGCTGATAGGCCAGCAGAACAATATGCAGCAGCAGCAGCAGCTAATTGGTCAACAGAACAGCCTTTCGAGTATGCATCAACAACAATTGGCCCCTCAAAGTAGCGTTTCTGGGCTCCATCAGCAGTCAATGCTAGGGACTCAACCTGGTAACTCTGCCCTGCCAACAAGTCAGCATTCTGTCGTCATGTTACAGCAATCTAAGGTTGCGGTACAGCAACAAATGCAGCAGAATGCAACAGCATTGCTACCAAGCCAAAATCAACAGCCACAGCAACCGCAGCAACAGATGGTATCACAGATTCAAGCACAACCAGGGGGCCTACAACATATGCAGCAGCAGTCAAATGCGTTGCAAAGAGATATGCAGCAAAATATTCAACCTACAGGTTCTTTGCTTCAACAGCAGAATGTTGTAGAACAGCAGAAGCAGTTATTTCAGCCACAAAGAGCCCATCCTGAGGCATCATCAAGTTTGTGCTCTTTCTTTTTTAATATTTCCCAAGTAGTTTTTGATTATTTCGTTTTCAATGTTATTTGATCTGTTCTTATGTTGTGCATTTCTCTATGAACTTTTGCGCACTTTTCTCAGGATAGGATTACGTACTTTTCCAGAATTTATGTATTGATCTTTAAACATCCTAATGTAGGTTGTCATTCTGATAACATGCATTGAAGTTAGCTTGTTATCCCATCATGATAAGATTTTGTGAATTTTTATTCTTGTAGTTTTATTTGAAACATCTGCTTGGTTATTAATTCTTAGACATCTTTAAGGCTATAGTGCCTTAATTTTCACTAATTTGTTAAATGTTGGCCAATGGGTTTTTATGTTCTACATTTTTAGGCAAAATTATGTTTCATCTTTTGCAAATTATGTTTGTTTATGCAATTTCTTGCTTGCCATGGCAATGCTCCTATTTTTTACTGCTACTCGTGCTAATCTCATCTTTTATCTCACAAGTAATTATTGCCTTTGATACCAATAACATATATGATATCCTATTTGAAACTTTATGTAGCTTCGTTAGATTCAACAGCTCAGACGGGGAATGCAAGTGGTGGAGATTGGCAGGAGGAGGTTTATCAAAAGGTATTGATATATGATCTTTTCATTTTCAATTAGGAGATGTAATGGTATAGAATGATTTTTTAGCTTCAGTATGTAGATTCCATCTGCAACCATGTTCTCATTTGCAAAATTTACTTGCAGATTAAATCCATGAAGGACATGTATTTCCTGGAATTAAATGACATGTACATGAAAATTGCTGGAAAGCTGCAACAGGTATGTGTAACTTATGTGTGATTATTGTTCTATCAAAGCATTGCAGAGTGGTACTTTGCAATCTGCATCCACTTTTCAGGTCTTTAAGTATCAATCTACTAATGTGTTAACCAGGAAGAAACAGTCAACTTGTCCTCTTATCAAGTGCAGTGAGCCAGGAAAAACTTTTCGTTTGTTCCCGAGTCCATTTGTCAGTCATGTGCTTGTTGATCAAGTATAGACAATGGGCTTGTGCATGCTAGTGCTTGTTATTGTCCATACCAGTATGTTTTAGTTGCAGAAATGGGAGAAAATTTGTGGGAGAAACAAAGGAACAAAATATCTTAATTTTCTGTTAGAAAGGTTCATTCTTTTGTTCCCGATTCTTATTAATGAAAGTCTTGTCCTTTTGTAGCATGATTCTCTTCCTCAACAACCAAGAAATGAGCAGCTTGAAAAGCTCAAATTCTTTAAGCTCATGCTGGAACGCCTAATAGGATTCTTGCGATGTACCAAGAATGACATTCAGATCAGTCACAAGGAGAAGTTGGCTTCCATTGAAAAACAGATAATCAATATTCTTACTACAAATCGGCCCCGGAGGCCCGTTTCTTTGCAACAAGTGCAACTTGCCCAACAGCAAATGTCCAACATGCAGCACTCTCAGCCTCAGACTCAAATTCCTCAAATACAGCCCCAGGAAAATCAAATGAACCAACAGATGCAGCCAATGAATGTACAGAGTTCCATAACACCAATGCAGCCAAGTAGCTTGACCAGCCTGCAGCAGAACACATTGTCCTCTGTGCCATCAGTTTCGAATTTGCAACAGAATATGATGAGTACCCTACAGCCTGCTTCGACTTTGGACCCAGGACAAAGTAATACTCACCCGTTGCAGCAGGTAGCTATAAGCTCTTTACAGCAGAATACTGCCAGTGGTCCTCAAACAATGAACATAAATTCTTTATCATCGCAAAGTGGCATGACTGCGCTGCAATCAAACCTCAATAATGCTCTACAGCCTAATTCGACTATGATTCAGAACCAGCAGCTTAAAAAACAGGAGCAGCAAATGTTGCAAACCCAGCAATTGAAACAACAATTGCATCCCCGTCAGATGCAGCAGCAGCTTTTGCAAAGACAACAGCTAATGCAACAACAACAGCAGCAGCAACAGCACCAACAAATGAAGCCACAGCAGCAGCCTTCACAGCTGCCCGGACACCAAATGTCACCACTACATCAGGTAACTGATTCAAGTGACTTGAAGGTGAGACCGCAGATAAGTGTTAAATCAAGTGTTTTCCAGCAATTCCATACCAACAGCCAGCGAGCAGCGTATCATCACCAACAGTTGAAGTCGGGAAGCCCATTTCCTATTTCTTCACCGCAAGTCCTTCAGGCAGCATCGCCTCAGGTTCCCCCGCATGGTTCGCCTCAAATTGATCAGCAGAGTATGCTGACATCTATAGCAAAGACTGGAACTCCATTGCAGACTGCAAATTCACCCTTTGTGGTCCCATCTCCTTCGACTCCCTTGGCTCCGTCACCTATGCCTGGCGAGTCAGAAAAACTAAATTCTGGCATTTCATCCCTCTCAAATGCTGGAAATATTGGACCCTCACATGCAATTACTGTGTCTGCAGCAGCCCAATCACTAGCAATTGGCACTCCTGGGATATCAGCTTCGCCATTGCTTGCAGAATTTACGAGTTTGGATGGAGCTCATGTCAGCACATCAACTGCAATGCCATGCAAGCCACATACTGTCGAGAAGCCGCATGAACGGTTGATTAAAGCGGTTAGTTTCTATTATAATTTTACACGAACCGAGTTCTTTGTTTAACATGTTTCTGCACCTTCTCAGTTAGAAAATAAGATCTATATTTGTCATTTTCAGGTAAAATCAATTTCAAATAAAGCATTGGTTGCCTCCATTGATGATATAAGCTCAGTTGTCAGTATGGTTGATAGGATAGCTGGATCTGCACCAGGCAATGGATCAAGAGCTGCTGTTGGTGAGGATTTGGTCGCAATGACAAAATGTCGCTTGCAAGCAAGAAACTTTTTCACACAAGATGGACCTACTGGAACAAAGAAAATGAGGCGCTCTACGAGTGCAATGCCTTCCAATGTTGTTTCACCTGTTGGTAGTGTGAATGACAGTATGAGGCAGTTAAACGGTTCTGATGCCTTTGAATTGGAATCCACAGCTACATCAAGTATCAAAAGGGCAAGGAATGAGGTTTTTCCATTTCCTTGTCCATCATTATTGATCTAAAACAATTTTTTGTCTAAAACAATTGAGCCAATGCACAGTTTGTATATGTGGAAGTTACTATCTCCATGTTTGCTTAGGATTGCAAGCTATATGCTTTTCTTATCTTACTCCATGGTAGATTAACTAATGGTGAAGGGAAGCTAACCGTCTCATTCCATCTAAAATTTGATGATGTTAGAAGAGATGTTAGCACATCTAGTTTTAGAATCTTACATGCTTCCTTTGGTCAGGATCTGATATGTTTGCTTTCCCAAAATGCAATAGACAATGTGATGTAGAACTGCAACCCAGGATTCACTGTATCTACATTGAAGTTGTCCGGAGCACCTTGTGGCTCTGAAGGAGATATGCTTTGCTATTTGCGTCCCTCCCATTTTTGGAATTAAAACCTGTGGGAATTGTTTGAACATATTAATGGTCTCTTTACGTGGCATAATTCTCTTGCAAGTTGGCAATTCAATATTTTTAAGTTTTCAATCTCCTGAATCACTTCTTTGTATTATTGATTTTCAAAATCAGGTTTTGGCTCTTCTCCTCCTCTTTTATTCTTCTGCTGCTTTCCTCTCATATATTCTTGTTCTCTGCCATGGGCCAAGGCAATGAGGATACGTTTCCAGGCTGCTGGTTTGTGGCATCTTTGATTCTTTGTTGCAGCCTCTTGGTTTTATTTGCTTTAGTTGATCATAGCATTACTATGTAATGCTCTGCTTTGGTGCTTTATAAACTGGTAAGCCTGGAATAAAACATACTAGTGTTCAAGGCACACACTAATGTTTGTGCAACCAGTAGGAAGAATATTATTAAAATTTTTGGGTATATTTGTCGAAATCATTTTCAGGAGAGTTGGTTTTATATTTTTGATGATATAATAGTAGAAAATTCACCAAAATAGTGTTTAAATGGATAGTTATTTGGTAACCATAATTAGGAGTTGCTAATAAAAATTAGGGTTTATAAATAAGTGGAAATTAAAATAAGAAGAAATACATGGTACTTTGTAAGAGGAGATGCGGTAGCGGTTTAGGAAGAAGATAAGGTGACACAAAATTGTTTACACTAGAAGTCCCCTCCCCCTATATAGCATAGATTTCTGTTCTGAACAGGAAAGTTTATTGTTTTTAAACAAATACCAATCAACATGAAGTCTGAAAATCATCACGCTGATTTTCTGTTATCCATTCTTAGTCATCTGAAACTAGCATAGCTTATTAGATGTGTCTGGCATCCAAGCCAGTTGTGGATGTTTTTGTGTGTTTAGTGTAGATGCCTCTGCAGATGCTTATCATTGGACTTATGTGGATTTGATGCACTTAGTTACTGATCGAACAATTTGTGACTGGTTGAAGGCCAACCATGCCCTTGTGGAAGAGATACATGAGATAAATCGACACCTCATAGATACTGTGGTTGATATCAGCGATGAAGATGTTGATCCAATTGCAGTAGCTGCAGCTGATGGTGGTGAAGGGACCATTGTCAAGTGCTCTTTCAGTGCTGTAGCTCTTAGCCCAAACCTGAAATCACAGTATGCTTCAGCACGGATGGTAAGATTCTTATGCTTTTTAGCTAGAATACTAGTGTGCCACTCATTTCCGTGAGTAGCATCAAGCCTTAGTTTATTTGTCTCTTCAATGTTGTTTCAGTCACCAATTCAGCCTCTGCGATTGCTCATTCCAACTAATTATCCTGATTCCTCTCCTATACTCTTGGACAAGTATCCTGTTGAAGTTAGGTAAGTAACATAAAATGTGGGTCCTATTCAATTCTGTGTTTTGATCTGTAAATAGACATTTATGGATACCTTTATCTTGATATATATTTATAGCCAAACTGCACTAGCCATCATCTGTGGTGGCAAGGATTGGAAGGATAATATAAGAAACATGAAGTAGGCCCTAGAGACCCTGCCATGTGTTTGGATATATGGGTGGATGTGGGGTTCTGTAGATAGAACAGGCTCAGAGGGAGGAAAAGGGAGATGGGATTTTTTTTGGTTGGGGGGGGGAGGGGGGGAGAGACAGAGGTCCAATGGCTGTTGAACCTCTCTGCACCTTTTGACATGGAATGCCCAATTTAAAAGCAGTCATTCTTCAGATGGACGTGTACAAATGATGGGATGATAGGATAACATGCTGTTAAATATGAATTGAGATAGTTAATCAGGTTTTCGATTATCTATAGCTGTGACATAAGGTGTGACACCGAAAGGTTTTTCTTTGTTCTTTTTTGTGATTTGAAGGTTCTTGAAGCGACAAAACATCTTTCTTTTTGTAATACCGCTGACCACTCATTTCTTTTCCCTTATTTTTTGTACTTCTTGTAGCATCAATTGGATCTCTTCACTGAGATTGTATCAAATAAATCTTATGTGCAGTAAAGAGTATGAAGATCTTTCTATTAAAGCCAGGTCCAAGTTCAGTATATCACTGAGAAGTCTTTCACAGCCTATGTCACTTTCGGAGATGGCAAGGACGTGGGACATTTGTGCTCGTGCAGTTATTTCAGAATTTGCACAACAAAGTGGTGGAGGAACTTTCAGCTCAAAATATGGGACTTGGGAGAACTGTGTGAGTGCAGTTTAGTGATCAGCGGTATTTCAAGTGGAACTACAGGAATTAGAATGATAATGATTTGGACAATCGTACTTTCAGCTGTTTCTTTTCAATGAAGTTTGCATTGATCATGATTGTTTATAGCTTCTCAATGAAGGTTGTAGAACCCAATGGCAGTAGAGATACAAAACCATCTAGTATACAATTGGGAAGGTAAAACTTTGTACTGCATGTGAGTATTCTGAGTGTCAGTTGAGTAATTATTCTAAATAGTGCTAAATGCTGAATTTATTGCGAAGTGTGTCACAATTTCATTGTTTTGTACTGGTTTCTGAAAACAAATTTCTTGGTTGTGTGGCAATGGTTAAGATAAATGAATGTAGTATTTATTTATTTATTTTTTTGTGGCTTTGGATTGAGGAATGCTGAATATATTGCGAAGAGCGTCACATTTTCATTGTTTTGTACTGATTTCTGAAAGACGATTTTCTAGCTTGTGCAGCAATGGTTAAGATAAATGAATGTAGGCCGCTTTTTTTTTTTTTTTTTCCCTCCTTTTTCGTTTTATTTTCGTGGCTTTGGATTGGGACGTGTTACTAACCAATTCTATCCACATGGTTCCTTCTTTCATTCTTGCTTACCTTTTTAATAAAGGCAAATAAAAAAAAGGAAAGTGACCAGTGCAGTTTGAGGGATATATGAATGGTTAGAAGGAGTCTTTTAACAGAAATATCTGCTTTGTTATTAACCGCCATTCAGTAACCATGGAATCATACAAAAGAAAGGTTGGAGTATTGAACATGCCCACAATGACAAGAAGGCTCTATTACCTACAAAACAAAAGTTTTTTAATTGGATGGGAGTCTTTATATGGTGACTTCTGGTGACCTAGGTACATGGTGAATTGATGCACAAAGAGATATATTTAGGATTATGGCCACGTTGGTGCTGGTTTAGCCAAATTAGTTTTGCTTACAGTGTCAACTGTTTTTTCCTTTTATGGTGAAGAAAAAAAATCTATATTTGTAGTATTGTGTTTTCTTATGTTGGATATTAGGAGAGGATGCAAGTAAAAAATTTCAGATTTGAATCCTCCCACTTACTATGACGCCCCCACTTCTCGTTAGGGCGAATCCTAGGGTATTAGCGGTACGCCTGTCCAACTTTCGTCAGGACTCACGTACTCGTTCAAACTTAATATAGAGCCACAAAATAACCATCGACTTAATTAAGAAGTATTTCGAATATACAAGCCACAACTTCTAAGCTAAAAGTTATGATAACAATCCACCAACCAACAATAACAAAATTACACTTTAAGAGCCACCAAAAGTTCATACAAAAGGTATACTAGCATCCACCAAATCGCTAGTCTAGAACCTCCAATCTACCTCCAAATCTTATTAAGAAAAACAAACTTAAAGGGATGAGCAAATGTTCAGCGAGACCAAGAAAATAAATAGGCAAGTAAGTAACACCAATCAATCAAATAACATGCTTTAAACAACTTTTAAACGTGACATTTCATTTAAGTGCACAAGTAGAAAATAACACACAAGGAAGGATACATAAACTCTCAGGAGCTCTTTCCATGTCTCAACCGATTCAAGCCATTTAGGGTTGACTCTCCGTCAACTTATGTAGTAACATGACCGTAGTGCTCCACTTACTACCTCCATCCAACAACACCCACTCGGATCCGTAACCAAACATTCATGTAATGGCGATACTATTCGAGTATGCCTAGCGAGATCTCAGAAGATCAAGCTATATCATTTCCCAAGGTTCACTGAGATTTTCGATCAAGCCCTTGACAGATCTAATCACAAGGTTAGCCAATGGATTGGATGTCCCCACAAGCATGATTGGTCGATGAGACAACGCTCCAATCGAGTTAAAATCGTTTATAGCACTGAATCGGGATGAGCAGTTGACGGGTATTTTACATACGTACAAGTTAAAAAACCGAATTACACCCGTTCACTGCAAGTATACAGGTCAACTAGTAGTTTAGGGTATATATCGGGTCGATCCCACAGGGAAGAGTGAACAATTACCGGTACTACTAAAGTTTCTCTATTATTTAGACTATCAATGAATTATAACAAATTTTACCTACTCAAATTATACAAAATAACAAATAAAAGCTCCTTAGGTTGTGGTATCCCTAACTACTCATGCAAGTGCTATATTTGGATCATTAATTACTACATTTAGGCTAATTATGGTGTAATTTCCTTATGCATTTGAATCCTACTTTCGTAGTGAATCAATTATACCTATAACTAATCCATACCTATTTTCATGGTTATGAAATTAGCTACAAGTTCATTTCTTCAATGAAATTACATGATATGAATCACTAAAAACCACATAAGTGCACCTCTACTTTCGTGAGTGTACTCCTTATGTTTAGCACTTCTTGAACTAGTGTTAAATTTCAATTTTCATTGCAGAAACAACACCTTAGATCATCACAATCAATGGTACCAGATTAATCATGATTTAAGAAGCCAAAGTGCTAAATAACTTGCTCAAATCATAGCAATCAAATAACCAAATAATAAACACTAACAATCATAGAAAGTTCAACCAAACCCAAGGTATAAACTTTAAAAACACATATTAAACACAAAATCCAGAACTTGTATATTAACTAAACTTGGAATCAAATACAAAAGATAAAGAGTTTGGAAGGAATACAACCCTTGTCACATGAGCTTTCTTCCTTGCCTTCTTCATCCTCCATCTTCATCCTAATCTAGATAATAAACAAGAATGGAAAAGCTACACTACTCTATACTAAGCTAAACTAACACTAGGGAGATGAAAGAGCTACATTTCTGCAGCTTCAAGCTTTCTCCCGTAGCTCTCTATCTCTTACTCTGCTATGAACTCCCTTCTCTGCTTTCTACTCCCTTCTCTTGCAATCTTGGCTATTTTATGATGAAAGATGGTCAAGAAATGAGGCCTCCACCTTCCTTTTACAGCTGGAGATGTTTCTCACATGTCTAGCATCCCATGTGAGTTGGTGGAGGTGAAATTGAGTTTTCCGCGTAAAAAGCAGACCTCTCTGACCACAATCCGGCCAGAAATCCGGCCACAAATCCGGCCAAATTCCGGCCGGATTGCTACAGTGACCATTTGGTCACTTCTGGTTCAATTTCCAGCTCTGCTCCGATTTTGACTCAACTTCAACTGAACTTTTCTTGATGATAAAAGCTGATTTAGCTCTTGACCAAAACATAAAACTTGTAGTCCTTTGAGTTAGCTTTCCAATGCATCAAGAATCACCTCATTTGGATTTGTGTAGGCTGAGAAATGACCGAAATACCCTTACCTGCTCATTGCCCTGTTCCAGTTTCGACCAGTAGAAATTTGCTATTGTAATTCGGCATTTTGACCTGGAAAAACTTCAAACTGGATTTAGATGTCTTCACCAAAGTTGTAGATCTATCTCTTATCTTCAAATTGGTTCAAGAATCATCTTAATCCGATCACTGTAGCTCAAGTTATAGCCGAAATACGAAAATGTGTCAAAACTGTCAAAATACACAAAATCCAAGTAAAAAGTGATAAAAACCTCATTTAATCACTTAAAAGCATTTTTCACCAATTATAGCCAAAATGATTCATATTATTCCAATAATATAACCAAAGTGACTAAAAATAATATAAAATATCATACAATTATTACGTAAATTAGTCACTTATCAGCAGTACCTCCCACCCAAATAGGACGTGATACATCTAGCCGCTCAGTGCTCACGAGTTAAAACATTTTGAGTACAAGTGCAAGTCATATACATTCATTTAACAAGTATCATTCAATCACAAGAAAGAGAGGACAAGGGCGATAAAGTACACCCTTGTCTCAGCAAGTTCACGTATCATATAACACTTGTACTAATATCATTTCAATCACATTAGCATTGAATATGCACTTGACACGCATTACAAGTCAAGGGCAAAACAAGAGTAAAGTGAGAAGTTAGACGAGCTCTTCGGTGTTCTCGTGACCACCTGAGACATGCATAAACATCATTACCTAGGTACTCGACCAAGGTTATAAAGAAAATATTTTCTCGCTACCCACTCTCAAGGTCACAAGTTCAAGTCAAGTTAAAAGAGTTTTTCTCGTTAAATCATTGAAATAATGCTCAAAGAGAACTTAAAGGCCGTTTTCGAGTTAAGTCATGGTAGGTAATCCCAATTCCAAAAGAAAGTACCATATTTACTTTTGGCACGAAAATTGAAATAAAAGGTAGATAGTCTCCATCTCCCAAAACTTTTAATCTCATGTCCAAAAGTTAGAATATAAAGAACGTTCATATTTTCCAAATTAATGGAGTCAAAACTCATCCAAATCTCCACTTATTTCATAGAAAATGTCGAGGCTAAAGGTTCCAAGTTTTGAGTATAAAACTAGTGAAATTCTCCAAGAATTACTCTAGTTAAAACGCTCTCCTTTTGACATTCAAACTCATGAGAATCGAGGGCATAATAATAGGGGTGCTATTAACCAAGGAAGTTAACAACCAAGAAAATGCATCAAGAGAGGTTTAATCCTTTGGAAACCAAGATTCAAAATGAAGGTTTAAAGTTCAAAAGTGACCTTGTGTCAAACCATGAAATTAAACTTAAAACGGACTACAATCTCAAAGGGAGGTTGAAAGTGTTTAAAATAGTGCTTTGGTTGAAACTAGAAAATTTTCAATTTGGTGTGATACTACTTGGAAAATTCATATCTCGAGTTCCGTAAGTCTAAAAATTGGAAATTTTATACCTTTGAAAACTAGACTCAATGTACTAAAACTCTCTAGAAGATACTTTTCTCATACTCCAATTCGAAATCAGTCAAATTTTAGCTCAAAACCACTGTTCTAGACAGGACAGAGCAAAACAGGCTTGCAATTTCAGCAAAGTTTAGAAATTCGGTAAAATTTGTAAAAATGGAATCAACCCTTGAAATTTATACCACTAATAGAATTCCAAATCTAGTTTCAAATGCAACAAACAGAACCTAATTCGGACCTTTCTACATCAAGATACAATGGTTTTAAGAAAACTGAATTTTGGTACATGTTGCACAAAATTTCCAGTTTTGAAGGCTTGACAGAGTTTCAAAATCTAGTCATAACTAAAGCTACACAACTAAAAATTTAGTTTGGTTTATGGTTTTGAAAACTAGATTCAAAGTTCTAAAAATCACTAGAAGGAACTGTCTTAAAATTCGTTTCACAAGATAGGTGAAATTGAGCTACAAACTGCAGCCAGGCTTGTTTCTCGGATGAAAATAGTGAGGAAATTTAGTCATCTTTGCCGGTTCACTACGGCTCATAGGAAACAAATTTGGAGGTGCATTTTATACCTGACGGAAAGCTCTCGGAGTCTAGT